TAAAAAAGATGCAAACTTGCTTGAATGGCAGAAGGGTATTAATAAATTTGTTTGGGCAGGGAAGGAATCGAGAATAAAACTTAAAATAATGCGAGATGTACATGAGAGAGGAGGCTTGAAAATGCCAAATTTAAAACTATATTATGAAGCAGTAGTTTTATCAATAATTAGTGATTGGATTAATTCAACAGAGGATAGATTACTGAATATCGAAGGGTATGATTTAGTATACGGTTGGCATGCTTATTTGATATACGACAAGAAGGTGGATAAGGCTTTCAAAAGTCATATATTAAGGAAAGCTTTATTGCGTGTCTGGAAAAAATATCAACATAAATTAAATAAGATACCTATGTGGGCAATTCTCAGACATGCAATAGATAATATAAGTATAGCACAAAAACAGGATGTAACCACATACAGACAGCTTCTTACTATAGAAAGAGGTGTAAAAAAAACAGGTAAAAAAGATAATCCAAACATGGTTTCAGTATGGACAGTTACAGGCCAGATGGAAAAAGATCAGAAAATTGGTATTATGCAAGATGAGGAAAACTTACTAAAACAAATTAGGGATCAAAGTCAAATGCATATAAAAAGGTTATATAACATATTAATAGAAATGGATTCTGAAACAGAATTAGTTAAAGACTGTATGATAAAGTGGGCACAAAGAGGATAACTATGTTAAGTTAACAAATTATATAAAGGAGGATTTGGAGAGGTGGAAAAATTTGAGACTCTCCTTCATAGGAAGAATAGCAGTGATCAAAATGAATATTGTACCGATATGATTGTTTTTTTTCCAAAATATTCCTATAAAATTAGATAAAAAGTACTTTGGAATATTGATTAAATGACATCAGAATACATTTGGCAAGGGAGGAATCCAAGGATTAAATTTAAACTTCTACAAGATGTAATAAAAAGAGGAGAATTTGGTGTACCAGAGTGGGAATTATACTACCAGCAACAACGTTTACCTGGGTAAAGGAATGGATAAATTTAAAAAATAATAAGCTGCTAATACTAGATAGCCACAATTTACATTTAGGATGGCATGCCTTCCTGTGGTATGGGAAGCAGGTAGCACATCCATATTTTCAGAGACACTTTATAAGACAGGCGTTATTATAAACATGGAATAAATTCAAGAGGAAAATTTACAGCAAGGTTCCGATTGGGCTATTGACATTAGAAGCAGTAGTGCACCCAAATTTTATCAACCAGAGAAAACAGGTCACCTATAAAGCTATAATAGACAAAGAAGAGAGATTAAGATCGAGGCAAGAGCTAAAAGAGCAAGGGATAGAATTGGAATGGTGGTCCTACCTTCAAATCCAATCACGTTACTTGAAAGATATGAAAGAGTGGGGCATTAGTAGGGAGCTAATGGCAATAGATAAGATCCTTTTGGGGACAAATGATGAATTGATAAAGAAGATTTACGATTTTTTACTGAATATAAGATGGAAGATAAACAGGTTAAGGAGACAATGGTAGCATGGGTGATAAACTTTGGCTATAATATACACCTGGATAAATGGTAAGAACTATGAGAAAGGAATAGGAAAATAACATTGTCAATACTGTATAAAGAAAACTTAGATACAATGTTTTATAGGTGGCATCTCCAGCCGTGAGACTAGCCAAAATGTTTAGAAATTTAGTGCCAAATTGTTGGAAATGTGATCACAAATCAGGCACATACTACCACATATCTTGGTCGTGCCACAAAACAAAAGAATTTACACCAGAACTATTTCTTTTGGGAATCATAAACAATAAATCTAACAAGAGGGTAATTTACCTAACAATACATATTATTACAGCAGCAAGAATGGTCTTTGCCCAAATCTGGAAAAACAGGGAAATTCCAAAAGAAGAGGAAGTAATTAGGAAAATTCTGACTTGTGCTGAAATGGGATTGAAGGATAAAGACGAATCAGAATGTTATAAGATCTGGGACAAATTTTATCGATGGTTGGAACAAAAAAGGAAAGACCCAAAATAAGCAACGACTAAGATTTACAGAATGGAGATTAGAATTATGTATCAAACTATAACAATGAAAATGTATAAGATAAAAAGAAAACAACATGGTTGGAATTACGATATTTTTATATTTGTAAATACCGAATAGACCAAATGTAAATAAGCATGGTGGTTATAATGCGTAACTTTATATGTATGGCTATGACTTTGTAGAGGACGGTTACACTGTGTCCAATGTTTTAATTTGTGTTCAATATATTTTTTTGAAATAAAAGCTGTCTATCAGAGCTATAATCCAGTGGCCAATCAGCAAGGCAGATGCGACCACATGACATAAAGACTACATTTCCCAGAAGGCAATACTACATTACCCAAAAGGCAATCTCTTAAAGGAACAATATTTAACTCCGAAACTAACTTGAACAGTTTTTAATTCCTAGTCTAACCATACCCTCGAATCAGGACATTAGGGCTTCAGGGATTCTGAAAGCAGTCCGTTCTGTGCCTCTTCATGTTCTGCGAGGACTCTGAGCTTGCCAGACTCTTCCACTCTTACCTGGGTTCTAGCTGGAGATTCCAGCATAAATGTTTCATTCCATTTCCCATCCTGTATAATGTATTTTCCATTCAACCTATAATTAAAAAATATATATATTAACTTTCCAGCAAAAATCCCTAACAATTATACAATCTGATTATAATCTAATTTATCCTACATAATTTCAAGGGTGATCTGTTTTGACTCATTCCAGGTTGTTTTGTCTGATCAAAAGGTTTGATTTCCAATCTCTTTGGGAAGATTTGCTATCACTAAAATTTAATTGGTGAGTTTGTGTACTTTTTATCCTTGGTATCCCAATGTTTCTCAGATTCATCTTCATATTAGTCTCCCGCACCTCTCAAATGACTACGCAAACACCTTTTTCATATTTTCATTTCATCTTAGAATCTAAGCATGCCCTTCCCCCTCTTTAATTTATATAGCTCGATTCTCCCTGCCCAATCAGCAGCCGAGAAGCTCACTTTCAGGATTTCATCACCTGTCCAAGATGTGACTGGGGGTCAATAGTGGATAAACTGTAAGTGCTGCAGTGAGTAGGGGAGTCTTTGGGGGATTGATCTAAAGGCCAATTTTGAGTTAAGAGAAGTTTTATCTGGCAGACTTCCAGAAATAGTTGATATAGGAGAGAATTTTTTAAAAGAAATCGGGAAGGTAAAAATAGTATGAAAGAAAATAGTAGCATGAGAGTGATCTCTATGTCTATTACCATATTTGAAATAAAGAAACGGAATAGTGACATTAACAGTGGACACTATAATAGTCAACATAATACTTTATAGTGCTGTAAGTGGTTTAATTTCAAATGTGTTCTAAACTGATTTTTACATATTGGACTTATTGATTAGTTACTATTGCTCTGAAGTATTCTGGAATTAAATATTACGTTGGATAAGAATTTGACAAAATTAAATTAATTCTATAGTGTCACCTCTTGATCCTAAAGGACAAGACGTATAATTAGAGTAAGAATTACCCTCCCCCCATACCATAATGGATCAATCTCATTAGGAATACACTAATTAATTTTATTGTTTCAGAAAAAGAATGAGAAAATATAATAATGGCTTTTTAATATTAATCACATGCAAAGAAATCAGGGGACAGAGAACTATCAAAATCACATTGTCTCAAATGGATATTGAATGGGAAAAATCAAGAATGTGCCAGCAATATATAGATAATGTAGGAATTAAGAGCTGTCTCCTTTAAGAAACTACCTCCTGGGAAATGTAGACAGATTGCCTTATGGGAAATGTAGTTCCATGACATGTGATCAAATCTGATGTGATCATATCTGTGTTTCTGATTGGACACTGGAGTGTTCTGCCTGTGCCCAGAATGAGCCGGTCATTTTAAATGCCATTGTGAACCAGAGAAGCAACACTTGTACCTCTTCTCAACATGGGAGCCAATTCATCATCTTTTTACACCACACGATGGGACAGATGTGACAGAAAATCCGAAGTATCTAAACACTGTAAGTTTTGTTTTTAAGTGCACAATTCTAAGGCCTCTCTTTGAATAAGGTCCTTCTCACAGGACCTGACCTCACCAACAGTCTGCTCGGCTGTCGGCTGTCAGCCTTGATGGCTATGGCTTCCTTTCTGAAGCAGATCCGCTCCAGAAAGGAAGCCATAGCCATCATGGCCAACATCCAACAATGTGCTACTCATTCCTCGTCAAGGAACTCAGGAGGAAACACATGGCAACAAATTCCCCACCCCCAAGAGAAGTTGAGGCATCCTGTTTTCCAGAGTGGAACTGGATTGGGATCTCTTACAGCAGTTCGGAAAAGGCCTCCATTAGATACTTTTAAGGGGAAAACATCAGTGCTAACATGGTCATAGATAAAAGAGCAAGTACTTTTTATAATAATCATATTAAAATAGAAGACAACATGGCTATTGAAAGGAGAGAGATGGTGGTAAAGGAAGAAAATGACAAAATATGCATCATATTGTCACCTGCAAGTACTTAAGAGACATCAGACACATTTCAACATTTTGATAAAATCTCAGCTTGCTGTGGATGCCCAAAAAGTCACTCATGTTTGACACTTTGAACCCTTCACATCCCCTCAAAATGACTCAACCATTTCTAAAGGCCATATTTTCATNAGGAGAGACTGGTTGGCCACCAGGTGGCGGCAGAGCATTGGATCAAAGGGAATGTTCCTGAAAGCATTTGGGAATTGTATCAGGATGCATGCAGGCTTAGGTCTACTCAGCGTAAAGGACAAAAGGAGTAACTACAGGAGATGATTGCGAGCAGCTGTTGCTCATTGGGATCCTCGCCTGAGTATAAAGAGACTGCAACACCCTGGTTGCAGAAGTCAACGTTCCATTCCGTTCCTGTTCTAGTGATTGTCTTGTTCGCGTGCACACATCGAGAGAAGCCAACTTGGATAAGTGGTTTTGAGATCCAAAAACAAAAACACAATAAGACACCAGGTCCTGATGGACTTAACAATAGAAATATATAAAGAACTGCAAGACCATCTAGGAGAAACCATACTTGAAGTATATAATGCAGTGTTGGAAGAAGTGAAGATACCACCATCATCGGTAGTGGCAAACATTGCGCTGATAACAAAAGAGAATTCGGACAGGATGCTAATTAAGAACTATGGGCCCATATCCTTGCTAAATCCAGACTACAAAGTATTCACATTAATAATAGCCGAATGCTTAAAAAATTCCTAAATGAGTTTATACACACTGACCAAAATGGTTTTCTACCAAAACAACAAATGAAAAATAATATAAGAATAATATTAGATGTCTTAGAATATTACAAGGTACATAGTGGAACACAGGTGGCATTGTTATTTTTAGATGCCCAAAAAGCTTTTGACAATGTTAATTGAGAATTTATGCTACAACAATTGAAATATATCAAATTTGGCAATACATTTTAAAATATTTTTCAGGTGATATACTCTGACCAAGAATTTAAAGTGAATGGAGAGGTGACAAAAAAGTTTAAAATACAGAAAGGTATGAGGCAAGGGTGTCCTCTATCCCCATTGCTATTTATATTGTCTCTAGAAGTGTTAACAAGGGTAATTCGGAAAGAAACTCAAATTAAAGGTCTGGAAATTAGGAAAGAAGTCTATAAACTGCAAGCATTTGCAGACGACTTAGTTTTTATTCTTGAAGAAGAACCACTAAAATAAGGTCTGAGGCTGATGGAGGTACTAGAAGACTATTGGAAAATAGCCGGATTGAACATTAATAAAGATAAAACCAAAATGATAGTTAAAAATATGACGGAGAAGCAGATGGAGGAATTGGCCAAGAGAATAAATATCCAGATTTCAAAAAAAATGAAATACTTAGGAATCTATATAATGGCAAGATGTACATCAATCAAAGAGGATAACTATGTTTTTTTTTAATTGAAAATTTTAAAAAGCTTTTGCAAACATTTACCTCCCCTCCTCTTCTCTCCCCACCTGCGGAACCACATTCT